TCCACGAGGGAGGCCGAGACTGAGTCCGAGTCCTGGCCTGGGTACGTGTTGGTTTGTGTGAGTCCTACACATTGCAGCCATGTGGGCAATGAAATCAGTGGAAGAGAAGCTCTCTGAATCTCTCTCTTTTCTTCTGAAACAGAAATGCAAATAATTAAGAGTCTACAAATCTGAAAGTCGTGTGAATGATTCATATTAAAACGTGTGTATACATACCAATTTGTCAAATGATGTAATTGAAGCTGCACAGATAGCAAATGTGGCATGAACTGAGGATATGACAAATTCAACTATTTCATTAAAATACAAACAACTGAAATTATTTCCAAAATTATATCATACAATAATGAATTCTGACTCATTGCAATTCGACTAAAATACAGTGATAAAGACCAGAAATACATATAATTGTAGATAAAATATGATGTCTAGCTTAGCATGTATAGATGGATCTAAATAGACAATGAAAATCCAGGAAGACTTTTAGGCATCAGGCTTTACAAAATGCGACTTCATTCCTATTTCTCATGTATTGATTATTGTTGCTTCTGTTTTCTTTTTTAGATCTCATTTTTTTGTTTTCCCATGCAAGTGAAGTTTTGCATTCAATATTTTATAAAATAATTTAGAAGCTTTAAATGTATTTTCTTAGCCCAGAAAAATCCAGCAAGGAGGTTCTGAATGAGGAATGTGGGAATTCAATAATGATAGTAGTACCCTGTGCGGTAGCCTAGCAGCTAAAGTCCTCACCTTGAACGCACCGGGATCTCATATGGGCACCAGTTCTAATCCCAGCGACCCCACTTCCCATCCAGCTCTCTATTTGTGGCTTGAGAAAGCAGTCGAGGACGGCCCAAAGCTTTGGGACCATGCCCCTACGTGAGAGACCTAGAAGAAGCTCCTGGCTCCTGGCTTTGGATCTGCGCAGCTCCAGCCATTGGATGCTTGGAGAGTGAATCATCAGACAGAAGATTTCCCTCTGTCTCTTCTCTCGGTATATCTGCCTTTCCAATTAAAAAAAAAAAAAAAAAGAAAAGAACTATACTAATAGTCATGATAAGGTAAGAAAAAGAAAAATACGGGGAAAAGAATAAGTAATTAAGAACATTGATTATACCATTAGATCTGAGCATTAGAACAATCAAGACCATGCAGCACACCTTTCTCTGCCTTTTTAGAAGGGTGCATCTTCCATATCAGATACCCAGGGGAAGGGGAGCCAACTGCTGTCAAACTCACCTGTAACAGACTCACTGTTGAATCCGGATGTGTTTCTGCTCTAAGATCACTTGGACAATTTCTGTTCCGCCCTGAGAAGTGTAACAGCCGAAACACAGAATACATAGCTGTAACCTCCCAAGTCAGCAGGAACCTGAGCTGGAATTAACCCCGTTCTCCTTGTCCAGAAATATGGAGTCTTCCACGGCTTCTGCTCCTGCAGAAGTTCATATTGTCACACGTGATCCATCGACCTCGTTCAAGTTGCCCTTGCATCGCAGGTGGCCTTTGACTGCGTTAAATCAGTTGTATGATTCTTATTTTTTGTTTTGTTTGGTTTTGTTTTCATTTCCGTGTGCTTTTGCCTGTTTGATTTTGCGGTATGAGCAAAATTTATTTCAAAAAGACAAATAGGAGTGCGGCCGAGCCCCCCGCGGCGGGCTGGTCTGCGCTGAGTGCGCGGCGGGCGTCAGATGCGGCAGGCACCCTAGCAGGGCTGCGCGTCCTCGGCGGGGCTGCAGCGATCTCCCTCCCACCCCGGTTGGCTTCCCGACAGCGCTGGACCCTCTGCACCCTGTACAGGAGTACCTGGCCTGGAGGCACGGCTTCTCTGCTTCTGATTCTGCTTGCTGCTGATGCAAATCCTCAGATGGCACCAGTGGCTCAAGCACAAATACTTCCAGGCTCCTCTGGCTTCCACTGACTGGAATCTGTCTCTCTCTATCAACCTTTCTATGTCTGTCTCAAAAACTTGCAAGACTTTTAAAGTTGGAATTAAGATCTCAAACACTGACTTTCAACATGGTGCAACAACTTTTGAGAAGTAAGGTGTTTTTCCCTACAATTTTTAAACATTTACTTTTATTGGAAGGCAGCTTTACAAAGAGAAGGAGAAACAAAGATCTTCAATCCATTGCTTTACTCCCCAAGCTGAGCTGATCCAAAGCCAGGAGCCAGGAGCTTCTTCTGGGTCTCCCATATGGGCGCAGGGTCCCAAGGTTTTCCGAGATCTGACGAGATCGGGCGCGTTCAGGGTGGTATGGCCATAGACACCAAGGTTTTCAAAAGGCCAACTTCTACTGCTTTCCCAGGCCACAGGTTGGGAGTTGGATGGGAAGTGGAGCAGTCAGGACATGAAACGGTGCCCCTATGGGATCCCGCGGCATGCAAGGTGCAGATTTAGCCACTTGAGCCATTGTGCCAGACCCTCCCTACATTTTTTTTTTTTTTTTAACTCATGAGGCTCTGCTAACCTGGTTCTGGTTTCTGTTGTTCACTTATTAAATATTTGAGCCCCTGCTGTGCACATGGCTCCCCTGGAGCCTGTGTACTGGAATTACATAGCATGGATCTAGTTGCAGGGGAGACGCATTGTTGTACCTGTGGACACAGGGGTGTAAAGGAAGGGCTGGCCTCTTTAGGCCTATTTAGCAATGCTACCCCTTGCAGCCCATTCTGATTAGCCTTCTTGCTGCTGCCCAAGACTCCATGTGTTCACCCATCATCAATAGCAAATAGATCAAGCACAGGATTTTCCTCTCACACAAGTATGAATCTGTTGTTTATTCAAAGTGAGTATGAAACAAAAATTGTTTAATAACAGCTCACCTTTACCTAAAGCCAATGGACGGCTTGAGTTGTTATCGAAGTTTGGGTCAGAGTAGAGATTTGGAATCACAATTGTATTGCTTCAATAAAGCAAGAAACTGATTAAAGTACCACTCTCCCCCTTGCGGTGAATTTGCCAGCTAGAGAGCATTTGGCAACAACATAAGGGGACCTTGGTTGTCATGATTTTTGAGTTCCGGGGTCATCCTATAGGACAAAGGACAGCCCCGAGGATGAGAATCGCCCAGCCTTGGGCCTGGTGCAGGGGCATAGTGGCTAAATCCTTGCCTTGCGTGCACCAGGATCCCATATGGGTGCTGGTTCTAATCTCAGCTGCTCCAGTTGCCAGCCAGCTCCCTGCTTGTGGCCTGGGAAAGCAATGGAGGAAGGCCCAAAACTTTGGGACCCTGCATCCGCATGGGAGACCCAGAAGAAGCTCCAACCTCCTGCCTTTGGATCAAGTTAGCTCTAGTCATTGTGGCTGCTTGAGGAATGAACTAGCAGATAGGATCCTTTTTCACTGTAAATCTCTTTCCAATAAAATTTTGTAAAAATCACACTTTATCATCCTTTAAAAACAAAAAACCAAATGTCCATCATGGCTGAGGCTGGACTAGGCCAAACCCAGGAGCTGGGACCTCAATGCAGGGTCACAGCAACAGAACTGTAGACTTGGCTGCTCTGGCTAGGTCACCAAGCAATCGTTTCCGTGGGGTGAGGACCGTCCTCGAGTTATACTTGAACAAGATTGTTTCCGTTAACTCGGGTGGGGCAGCTGATCTGGAATCGCTGGACCGGGCTTCTTTTACTGACATTCCAGCCTGAATAAGATGAGGCTGGATTTCATCAGAAAGCCCTGCTCCGGCTTACTGTTTCCTCAACCGTGAAATGCCATCTTCCGCATCTACTCCCGTAGCTGTAGCAAAGCTTTGTGAAATGGGGTAATGACTCTGCAAGCTCATAGTTAAATAACAGAAGCCTAAAATTCTCTCATTTCTGGCCGAGGGACGTTGTGTTACCATCCGGGTTGCACCTGTATTTGGAACTATCTGGGTCGGAGTTGGAAGGCAGCAGGTTCAGGCAGCTCGGATCTGCCTCGGCTGCCTCCCTCCCTCCCTCCTCGGGCCCCGAGGCGCGTGGCCGGGATGCACCGCTAAGGGAGGCCCCCGGGAGCTTCCCGCCGGGCGTCGTGAAGCTGCACAACCCCAAGGTCAGCGACTGCTCCGGGTCACTCACGCGAGCCAGTCACCCGGGGCTCCGGGGAAGACCTTCCGGAGTTCTCCCGCGGCAGCGCTGATTGGTCTATTCTTACGCCAATCAACGTGCTCCGCACACCCCAGGAAGCACAGCGAATCGCTCGCTCTCCCTCCCTCTACAGAAGGAAAAAAAAAAAAGACTGCCGGAAATAGCGTTGGGAGAGCGCGGCGCCTGCGGCTATGGCGTTTGGGGCGACTTCCGCCAACGCCGACCAATGAACTCTGTCTTCGGGTTGCAAATAAAGTCCTCCGACCTGTCCCAGAGAAACGACGTTGTCATTGGCTCTTGGCTCAGGGGCGCAGAGACTCACGGGAGCCTCGTCCGCCCATCCTTCCCCGTGATTGGCCGCTTGGAGCGTCCATCGTCTTCCTCTCTGGCCGGAGCGGGCGCCTCTTCCTGGACTGGCAGCGCTGCAGGCGGCGAGGCCGCACGGGGCCGGGACCTAGCCTCGGGGGGCGTGGCCGCGCTGTGTCCGGCCGCGAGGCGCTGGGCGTGGCCCGGAGCGCGGGGCCACGCGGGGGCGGGGCCGGGGCGGGGCCCGCGGAGGCGGAAGTGGCGAGCGGGTCGGAGCCGGAGCCGGGGGAGAGGAGCCGAGGCAGCGTCCGGGCGGGCAGAGCGGCCAGGGCGGCGGGGCGCGGGCCAGGCCGACGGGCCCGGGGGAGGGAGGAAGCGGCTGAGGGCGCGCGTGCCGCGGTCGGTGGTCGGAGCGGGTTCCTCCGCGCGGCCCCCGGGGTGGGGAGGGAGAGGATGCGGGCCGGGCGGCGGCGGCTGCGGCGGCGCTAGCGGCGGCATGAGGCGCGGGGCCGGGGTCCCCGGGAGGGAGGCGCTGCCGGCGGCCCGGCCGCTCCCGCTGCAGCTGTTCGCCGGGCTCGCCGTGCGCTGCCCGCGGGGCCCTGGCCGCTGGCGTCGCGGTCGACGTCCGGGCCGCCGCTGGTGACCGCTCGCCGCCGCTGCCCCCGCCGTCCCCGCCGCCGCCGCCGGAGGCTTGCACCCCGCGCCCTGCCGTCCGGGCGCACCCGCGGAAGAGCCCCGGCCTCCCTCGGCCCCCTGGACGCGGAGGCTTGCGCCGCGCGGGGTCGGCGGCGAGGCCCGAAAAATGGCTTGGGTGCTCAAGATGGACGAGGTGATCGAATCCGGGCTGGTGCACGACTTCGACGCCAGCCTTTCCGGCATCGGGCAGGAGCTGGGCGCCGGCGCCTACAGCATGAGGTACGGCGGGAACTGGCCTGGCTGCCCCTGCAGCGGGGAGCCCCGCAGGCCTCGGGGCGCACCCCCGGGAGCCCCACTCCCCCGGGGCCCCCCGCTGCGTGCGGCTGGCGGAAGGCGGTGGGGGAAGGGGCTCCCCGGCCTTCCTTGCAAGTGGTTTAACAAGCCCCTTGGCTGGAACTGGCGTAGACTGGTGGAAAATGCTGCTCACCGGGTGGCCATCCGGTGCTGCCCGGTCGCTGTGCATGGTGGTCTTTGCAGCTTGCACATGGTGCTTCCGCGGCTGTTGTAACAGTTAACTCTGTCCTAAGAATGGAGCCGGTGTGCGTGCAAGCGAAGTTTCTTGTCCTGGGGGACCGGCGTCTCTGGCTATTCCCTCCCGAGGGCTTTTAAGCTGCGGCGGCTGCACTCTCCACCCCCCCCCCCCAAACAATAGTTTGTTTAGTCTCTGTACCACTCATTTTTGTTGAATTCTGAGTTTAGTGGCTGCCCAATCATGGTGAAGAATGCACTCGTTTTTGGAAACCCTTAGTAGCTTGAAAGGTCGGTGTTAGGGTGAGGAGGTGCGGTAAGGGGCTGGATTGAAGTTCAGCTTATGAACTTGGAAGTCCTTCTGCCGGTTATCTGCCCGCAGCCCTAGGGGTGTGAGTAGGGGTGTGTAGGGGGGGGTTCAGGAATGGCTTGAACGATGGTGTCTTCTGGCCGGTGGCATGGGGCGGGGGGGCTGCTCCCCAAAGTCATGCAGCTTTTAAAGCTTCCAAAAGGAATTCTGGGTCCTGAAGAACCCTCAGAACAGCCTAGAGGCTTCTGGGAGCCTGGAACCTGGAAGCAGGTGGTGGAGAGCCTGACCTGAACTCCTGCTGGGCTCCCCGGACTTGGCACCTCCCGCGCTTGGGTAACTCGAGGGCTTGAGCCAAGCTGGCCTGTTTTCTGGAACAGCGGTCTCAGGTGTTGAGGTCGGGCTGTCCCTGGGCTGCCCGGGACTCTCGGGGGCACCAGGTCTTTCCACCTTGCTTCTGCTTTTTGGGAAATGAAAGCTTGCTGCTGGGAACTTACTGACTGTGAGCTTTTCACTCCCCCCTTACCCCCTTCCCACGGATTTATACTTGAACTCTGTGAGTTAGCTACCTTATTCCCCTTGTTAACTTCTGTTTAAGTGGAAAGGGAATAAAACCTTAGTATTAAAACCTTAGTATTATTAAAACCTCATCCTGCCCTGGTTCTGAAAGTGTAGCCCGTGGTCTCTGCCATTCCGTGTCATTTACAACAGTTCCCCTGGGGAAACTTTGTCCCTTGACTAATTGAAGTCCTCATGTGTCAGTGGGAGGCGACTAGCATGTTTAAAGAACTTGCTCAGCTTTTTTTTTTTTCCTTAGACATTCATGAGAGTGCCCCTTGCAAAGCTGAGGCCCGAGATTTCACACGGACAGCCTAGGAAATTCGAAAATGGACTAACAAGGACAAGAAGACCAGGAAGAAGCACTTGCGGGGCGGGGGAGGGAGCAGGTGGGCTTTCCACGCGTGGCCTGGAGCCGGGAGACTTGGGCGTGGGTCTGGGGATGCTCGGGAACTGTGAGCCATTTCCTCGGGCATCCAGTGGGAAGGAATTCAGAACTTCGGTAATTCAGAAGTTCACTTGAGGAAATGACTGGGAAAATGGCTTGCTGATAAAGACTCACTTTGTAGGTGGCCCTCCATTTTCCTTTGGAAGCAGGCTTGCATCATTTGCTGTTAGGGTGTGTTCAGAGGACAGGTGTTTTCAAGCGTAGGGAATGGTTTCCTCAGCATTTGAGGAAGATAGTTCGAAAGAAAAGGGATTTCTGTCTTGAACGGTCCTACCTTGAACTGTGGAAATGTTAGGCACGTGCCGCTTGCTTCTGATGCTGGCTTAGTCTGCCTTTTGTTTTTGGCTCCTCTGTGTGTGTGTGTGTGTGTGTGTGTGTGCGCGCGTGCGTGTGCGCGCGCTTGCATGCCTGTGTGCACACACTGCTGGCCACACTTGAGTGAAGGATGCTAGCTGTGGCAGGTTCCATGTGAAATGAGGCAGGTCATAAGTCTTTTTAAAAGTCTACGGTTTGTAATTTCCAAGGGGAGAGAGCAGTCAGCCCTGTCGGAAGTGTGTGGCGCAAGGCTGAGGTGTAGAAGTGACCCGCGCCCAGCAGCCCGTCCTCCTTGGTCACCAGCTCCCGGAAGGCTCTTGCTCCCTCACCAGTGGGAGGTCGGAATTCATTGTGTCCTGAGGTCTAGGTCACTTAAGTTTTGAGAAATATGGGGCAGATAACCAAATGTCCTTTACAAGGTAAGCCTTGGGTTCAAGTGTCCTGAAGAGAGGGTCTTTGGGGTCACCATTGTTCCCGTGAAGTTTACGGTCCATGGCACGTTCATTTTCAGGGTTCAGGTCGGTATTGAGTTGTGGAGGGTAAGAAGTCGGGCGCACTAATTGGAGAAGCTTTGGTAGGAAATGGTGGCCTGAGAGCAGGCATCTCCTGGCCTTGGCTGGCCTTCACTGCCCTGCGCCTCTTAGAAGCATATTGTATACCCCGCACATTGTGAAGTGGGAGGTTCTTCCGTAACTTGCAGAGAAGTTGTAAGTCAGAACAGCTGTGAGGCGAAGGCATGTTTTAATGGTGATTAAAAGGTTAGACTATTAGAGACTCTGAGTTGGTGGGGTTTGTATTGTAGCCGGGAATGGCTGCTGGCTTTCTTTGGGTCTCCTACTGAAACAGAATTTATGTCTTGGAAATACAGAAAGGTTTTAGAACCACCGAAATTCAGCCTTCTAGAAATGACAGTTTCTATATAACTGCTTGCTTCAAGGCTTCAAACCTTCCTCTGGATTTTAACCTGTCATATAGGAAGGAATTTAACAGAATGCTATTTTATAAATTAAGGATTTCAGATTCTGGTGTCCACATTGGCTTTTGCATTCACCACCTTTAGGCAGGAGTTGCCCAGCCCTCTGTAAGGGATCGCTTGCTGAGTAGTTTACTTTGCAAGCTGGGTGAGCTGTTTTTTTTTTAACCCTAAAAAAATGTGAAGCCATGCCAAGCTCGGGGTGGCCTGAGTTCAAGTCCAGAGGACAGCCTGTGATGAGGGTTCTTGATGGCCTTGGAGAAGTGCTTACTGCGCATGGGTAGTGTGTCTTCCAGCAGTTTCTTCTATGTAGCCCTACGGTCTCAGCTCCTTCCCTGCGATCTTCATGTTCGATTTCAAGGGTGTTCACTCCACGCCTGGTTGAATGCAGTTTCTATCCTTCCGTTAGGCCTGTTTGAAGTTCAGTAGTTTGTTGATATGTTCTCTAATAAACTTCATACATTTCATCATAGTGGCACTTACTGATTTTGTTGGTACACATTTAATGTATTTGTTCTTCAAGGAAATACTATCTGCGATTTGGTTTTTTTTTTTTTCCTTCCTTCCTTCCTGCCTTCTCTTTCTCCTTGTAGTGTTTTCTTCCCTTGGAATGTATCTAACTGATGAAATTCCTAAACTGTGGTGATGGAGTCTTTTTTTTCCCCTTGCAGTTTTTAACTTTCTGAGTCTTTTTTTGGCTGCTGGTTCACTCCCCAGATGGCTGTAACAGCCCAGGCTGGGCTGCTGTGAAGCCAGGAGCCTGGAGCTGCTTCTGAGTCTTGCAGGTGGCGGCAATAGCCCAAGCACTTAGAGGCCTTCATTGCCTTGCCAGGTTATTAACAGGGAGCTGGATCATGACATGGCTCACAGCTGAGCCATCCCAGAGCCAGGAGCTTCTTCTGGGTCTCCTGTGTGGGTGCAGGGTCCCAAGGCTTTGAGCCATCCTTTGCTTTCTCAGAGCACAGGAGGATGGTGCATATGGGATGCTGTGCTTGGAGGTAGCGGGTTAGCCGCTGGAGCCCTTGTGCCGACCTCAGGCTCGCCGTGGCTATGGCTGTGGCAGTGACTGAGTGGAGGAGGACCATTGTTGATGGGATTCCTTTGCAGGATGTGTTGTAGCAGTGTTTTGCAGTCACTTCCTAATCATCAAAGTATCAAGAAATTTTGAGTACCAATTTGTTTAAAATAAAAACTGCAGGCCCAGCCCTGTAGCCTAGTGGCTAAAGTCCTTACCTTGCATGTGCAAGGATTCCATATGGGTGACGATTCTAATCCCAGCAGCCCTCCTTCCCATCGAGCTCCCTGCTTGTGACCTGGGAAAGTAGTAAAGGATAACCCAAAGCCTTGGAATCCTGCACCCACATGGGAGACCTAGAAGAAGCTCCTGGCTCCTGGGTTTGGATTGCCTCAGCTCTGGCCCATTATGGCTGCTTGGGGAGTGAATCTATGGACAGAAGATCTTCCTTTCTGTATATCTGACTTTCTAGTAAAAATTAAAGAAGAAGAAAGCTGGCTTCACATTAAGAAGCGGCTAGAAAAGGGAAGGCTCTGTTAGCAGCCTTGTATGACAGTCCTGGGTATATTTACTACCCAGCTAACACTTGACCAGAATGGGTTTGTATAACTTAGTTGCAATGTGGACTATGAAGTTTTCCATGTGCTTTTTGTGCTCTGTTGCATGCAGGTGGATTGGTGTGTGTGCGCTTTGCGTGGATCTTTTGCATGCCTTAAGTTTGTAATATGCATATTTTGGTCATTTGGAAAATACTGTTTTCCTGTGTCACGCAGATCTTCCAGTTGCTGACCATTTTTAGTGGGTATGAACAACAACAAAAAATGTATTCCTTAGTATGGCCACAATTTCCCGTTTTCTCCCTGGCAGCAAATGCTGCTAGTTTCCGTGCAGTTGATAAGCTCATTTTGTCAGTGTTGAGGAATTGTCAGCCACCTGGGTCTGAATAATCAGCTTAAGCGATGGCCCCTGGGAGAACCCACTGGGTCTGCTCCCAGCCCAAGCCCAGGTGCTGGAGCTGCTCCTTGAACAGCTGTTGTGCTTGAGTGTGAGGGCAGGACACGATGTGTCTCTCCGTGGGCCCAGATTCGTGTCTGGTGTTGACTCCTGCCAAAGCCATGGCGGTTCTCACCGCCAT